GACACGTGCCGAAAACAAGAGAAGAGGCTTCCAGTAAAGTCACAGCTTCACCACTACAGCCATCTCCTCTTTACCAAAGACTGCCTTATGCAGGTAACGGGCACCTTTAGATGAAACCAAACTGTGCAGCATTGGCCAAAAACGAAGTAACGTCCTTGGTGTAGGTGTAGGCCTAGAACACACTCCGAAAAGCCAGGCCGAAAAACAAAAATCCAGAGATGGCATCATTCAGTCCTGCCTGGTTACCAAGATACTCCAAGCCAATTTAAAACTCCTTGTATGTTCTTGCTTTCCCCGTGTGGCAGTAGCTCGGAGGCCAGCGATGCTGCATCAGAGGAGATAGTGGGCGGGGATGGAGAGCTCTCTCCCTTGATGGTGAGCAGCGACAGCTGGGAGTGTCTTAGTAACGGCCTAGCAACAAGGCAGGATGGGATGATGCCATCTTTGGGGAGGTTTTTCAGACAGGCTTTGTGAGGGACATCAATGGCCTCCACCTCCTAGAGTGAGGGTTTTAGTCAACTTTTTTTAAAGATGGCTCCTAACGCCATTACCAGCCAGAGAAAGTCAGTGACGGGACTGAGGAGCAACGCCATGAAAAGGTGCATCAAAGCTCGATGACGGCGCTCGGTCGGGTCGGATGGTTCGGTCGGGTCGGAGTTGGAGGTACAAGTGAGGCAACACAAGAGACGTATTTTATACTATTTTATTGGAAATAAAACGCATTTAAAAATCTAGAAGTCCCATGCTTTGTCTGCAGACTCACATTGTCTAATTCTCTGTATTTTACATCATTACCCATCTTACATCCATTGTGTGCAGAAAGCCCCGCCCCCTGAACCCGAGGCAGGCACCTCCGGAATCTCCCGCTGCTTCGGAACGAAGGCCCACACGCTTCGTAGCAGCGGCAGAACCAACCCGTAACCTGCCTCTAAAAACAAGGCCCGAAGTCCTTCACACTGTCAAGGGAGGAGCCGCAGCCGCTTCTTGGGGTACACCAGGCCATGCTGTCCCCCCCCCCAATTGAGGAAGGAGTCACAGCCACCTCTTGGGGTACACCAGGCCATGCAATCCCCCCCAATAGAGGAAGGAGTCACAGCCGCCTTGGGGTACACCAGGGCCATGCTGTCCCCCCCCCAATAGAGGAAGGAGTCACAGCCACCTCTTGAGGTACGCTAGGCAGTGCAGTCCCCCCCCCCATTGAAGGAGTCACAGCTGCCTCTTGGGGGTACGCTAGGCCATGTAGTCCCCCCCAATTGAGGAAGAAGTCACAGCCACCTCTTGGGGTACGCTAGGCCATGTAGTCCCTCCCCAATTGAGGAAGGAGTCACAGCCGCCTCTTGGGGCACACTAGGCCATGCAGTCCCCCCCCCCAATTGAGGAAGGAGTCACAGTCGTCCCTTGAGGTACGCTAGGCCATGCAGTCCCCCCCCAAATGAAGAAGTCCAAGCCGCCTCTTGGGGTACACTAGGTTGCAGTCCCCCCCATTTGAATGGAGTCCAAGCCGCCTCTTGGGGTACGCTAGGTCATGCAGTCCCCTACGAGTCCCAGTCCCCAATGAGGAAGAAGTCACATGCCGCTCTTGTGGTACACTAGGCCATGCAGTCCCCCCAATGAGAGTCACAGCTGCCTCTTGGGGGACTGCACACCTCAAGGGGGGGGCTGCACGGCCTACTGCAGGGGGGCTGCACGGCCCTATCCCCTCAGGGGGGCTGCACTAGGATGTCACAGTCCCCAATTGAGGCGCCTCAAATGGGGGAGTCCTGGTCACCCTCAAATGGGGGTACTGCACGGCCTAGTGTACCCCCATTGCAATACTCTCGGCCTAGAGGAAAGGGGGGAGTCACAGGCGCCCTCAAATGGGGGACTGCGCGGCCTAGTGCCCCTCAATGGGGGACTGCGCGGCCTAGTGCCCTCAATGGGGGACTGCACGGCCTAGTGCCCCTCAAATGGGGGACTGCACGGCCTAGTGTACCCCCATTGAGGTACTGCACGGCCTAGTGTACCCCCATTGAGGTACTGCACGGCCCAGTGCGCCTCAACGTGCACGTAGTGTACCCCCATTGAGGTACTGCACGGCCTAGTGTGCCCCCATTGAGGTACTGCATGGCCTAGTGTGCCCCCATTGAGGTACTGCATGGCCTAGTGTGCCCCCATTGAGGTACTGCATGGCCTAGTGTACCCCCATTGAGGCACACTAGGCCGTAGAGTCCCCCCCCCCCCCCCATTGAGGAAGGAGTCACAGCCGCCCCTTGGGGTACACCAGGCTCAAGTCTGCACAAATCTGAGGAAGGCTGCGGGGGGATTACAACAAGATGCCCAAAGAAGAGCAAATAAAATCTACTTTACAAAAAAATATCTTCTGTGAGGGTGGCACAGGGTCAGGCAAGTGGGGCAGGAACCTAAAAAAAAAAAAAAAAAAACAAAAACAAAAAAACCACAACTAAAATCCATCTCCATAGGTGTCCACCTCTGTTCAGGGCCATCAGATGATCAATTAAAATGTCATTTTTTTAAATGTTTTATTTTCTTAACTCTTTAGTACCCGACGCTGTAAAAAGTGAAAAACATACAGTAGAGGGCAATTGTAACAGAACACTTTATATAGATAGAAAACAAAAAAAAAAAAAAAAAAAATCAAAAAAAAATTCACATCTTATTCTAATAAAACACAGACTCACCTCTGGCCTGTCTTGTCTTTATTCTGCCATTTCATTATGTACACGCTATAGAACTTCGTATATTACAGAGTACGCGCTAAAGTTCACGGGGGACCAGGCCGCAACATGCCATCTCTCGACAGAAGAGGGTGAAGGAAGGAGAAGAAAAAAAACTAAAAAAATATAAAAAAAAAAAAAAAAAATAAAAAAAAAAAAAAAAAAAAAAAAGGAGCAGCTAAAAAAAAAACAAAAAACCTTTATTATGTAGTGACAAGAGCTGGCAGTGTCGGTCCTTTTCTGACGCGGAAGGGACCCCCCCCCCCCAGCTATATTCAAGGCTCTCAAAACAGAACCGTCGATGAAAAAAAAAACAAAAAAACTGGATTGCACCGTTACCTGTAAATTTTTCCTTGCAACCAAAAAAAAAAAAAAAAAAAAAAAAAAAACCCCCAAAAAAACGTAAACCTTTTAGGAACGACAAGTCGCGGAACCCGTAGGCCTCTTCACCAAAGTCCAGGTCCTTCACGATCCAATCTGCAATCCAGGGTGAAGACTGGATGAGTCAATTTGGTTGGTCTGATCGATTTTTTTTTTTTTTATTTTTTTTAAAACAAAGTCAAACGTCCGGTTGATCTCTCTGTACGGGGGGAGGGGGAGGTAGCGGCTTTCTGTACAGGACCAGGAAAAAAGGGTTAAAACTTAAAAACTGGGATGCTACGACAAGAGTATCCGAGTTCCTGAACCTCATCGGAAGGTGGAATGTGAAGCCCGATACAAACCTTTGGAGGTGGTGGGGCGGGGGGAGGGAGGAGAACGGCTGTGCGGGTTTTATAGGTCTGTGTCGCCGAAGCCGTAGAAGGACTCGGTGTCGCTCTCTTCCTCGAAGAGGTGCTGGAGGACCTCGGGGTCGGCGTACTCCTCGGGTTGGCTGTCGTTGCAGCTATCGGTGTCTTCGTCCTCGTGTTCGTTCAGCCTCAGCTCGCCCTCCAGGAGGCTGGTGAGCTCCTCCTGCATCTTGGCGTTGCGTTTGCTGGAGTTGGTGGCTCCGTCGGGTCCCGGCAGGACGCTGGCCACCAGGAAGGACTGCTGCACCAGTTCTGGATGGTCGCTGATGACGCCCAGGACCTCCATCATCCAGCTGATGACCAGTCGTAGCACCGTCTCTGGGCTGCAGGTGGTTTTGGCTCGGGCCCGTTCTCCCCACTTCTTGTGGAGGAAGCTGGTGACGGCTCGTTTGATGCACACGTCGATGGGTTGGATCTTGGAGCTGCAGCCGGCCGGCACCACGGCAGGTAGCGTGCAGGTGGAGCTCAGGAGGCCCAGGACCTCGTTGGACATGTGTGACCTGTGACAGTCTATCACCGCCATGCCTTTGTTGGGCAAATCCATGTGTTTCTGCCAAACCCGAGACGACCAAAGCTCCATGACCTCATCTTCGCTCAGGCCATCTTCTCTAGCTTCGTAGATGATGGTTTCAGGAACGTCTACGGCACACGTCGAGCCGCCCCGAAGGCACACCAACGTCGGCAGTAGGCTGCCGTCAGCCAAGATGGTGAGCACGATGTCGCACCAAGGCTCGCCGGCGCCCACGGTCTGCAGCGCGCATTCTCTCCTCTCTTCTCCGCCGAGCAGCTCCAGGTCAAGAAAAAGTGAGATTTCGTCGACGGCGGCGATCATGGACAACGGGAGGTCCTGGTTGGGGATCTGCCTTTGTACAAAGCTGATGAAAGTCTGGGCATTGTCCTCCAGTTCTCCAGGCAGGCAGTTGGCCACGGCAGCTTTGGAGTGTGTGCTTAGTTTGTGCCGTAGCATGAACCCCACCGCCCATTCGTAGGAGATTTTGAAGCCTCCTTCAAGCGAGCGTCCGATCTTGGTGGCCTTCTGGAAGAGAGTCTCCTCGTTGACTGGCTGCTGTTGCTCTCGCTGGAGCAGAACCCATTCGGCCAGTCTCTCCTCCGCCTCGGTGCTCAGATACTTCTCCTCGGACAAGGCATCTGGCTTCTCCTCCTGAGCGGTCTGGAACTTCTGAAGCCACCACCGGATGCGGCTCGGCGAGTTGTGGAAATGCTCGGCCGCTTGTTGGATGCTGCTACACAGAGCGAAGAGCACCACCCGCAGCTTCTTGATGCTGATCTGCTCCTCCTTGTTGCTCTCCAGGTTTCTGTTCTCCGGCTCCTCTACCTCATCCACATCCACAGGTTTCAAGTTCTCCGGGGCTGGAAACACCAGAGCTGGCACTGGGGCCGGCGACACTCTTGGGGCCGGCAACACCTTGGGGGCCGGCGACACCTTGGGGGCCGGCGACACCTTGGGGGCCGGCGACACCTTGGGGGCCGGCAACACCTTGGGGGCCGGCAACACCTTGGGGGCCGGTTCGCGCTTATCTTCGGTTGGAGGACTGGTGACATCATCCATGTTCTCGAAAGGTTCAAGGACCCTGCGGAGGGACAGAAAATGTGTGAGCGCCCCATAATACAACCGTGAAAGGACCACTGACTGTAGACCAGTGCCGGGACAAGGACCGTTACCATCCAAGGCTACCACCTCCCCCTCCTGAGCAGCAGTATAGGCAGGAACCAACTCTCTACCACCCCCCAGCTGCTGAAGTGCTCATTGCAACCGACTCCTCTGCCTACCCCTTGGCCTGTCCCGGCTACAGAGTATGGAAAACGCCATTAAAACTGATAAAAGCAAATATTACCCCAAAAAAGCTCTAAAAAGAGGAAAAAGAAAATAATTACCATGAAACGTCTGGGGAGATATCTGCAGAGAAAACAGAAATATCAACTTTTATATAGAACATTAGAGTACAACACACATCAGTCTCTGTACAGAGGAGCTTACACTCTAATGTCCCCTCCCCCCCACAGTCCCATCAGTCTCTGCACCAGAGGAGCTTACGCTCTAATGTCCCCTCCCCCACAGTCCCAGAGGAGCTTACACTCTAATATCCCCTCCCCCGCAGTCACATCAGTCTCTGTACCAGAGGAGCTTACGCTCTAATGTCCCCTCCCCCGCAGTCCCAGTCTCTGCACCAGAGGAGCTTACGCTCTAATGTCCCCTCCCCCACAGTCCCAGAGGAGCTTACACTCTAATATCCCCTCCCCCGCAGTCACATCAGTCTAAATGTCCCCCGTCCCCCCAAGCAGTCAGTCTCCGTACGGGAGCTTACACTGTAATGTCTTGTCCCACGGTACTTACTTGTACACATGACGGTGATGTAGCCATGCGAGGGGTTGAACACCAGATGTTTCGCCATGGCATCGCCCAGTCGCGTCACGAAGGCGCAGGATGAGCATGTCATCACCAGCTCCTCACTGGGAAGAGGAAGATGTTAACAGTTAGTGGCCCACAGTGACAACCTCGGGATTGGTCGGCTGGGAAGGATTACATACCTGGGTTTGCAACTTTTGAACAGCGAACGATATTTTGGACTTTTCCGGGGAACGTGGTTGCTGGAAAACAGAAACGAAGAAATATCTCCTGAACCAGGCAGAGTGGTATCCCCTCTCTACACCGAGAGTCCCTCTCTACACCGAGAGTCTCCATGTCCCCCCCATCCCACAGTCCCATGTCCCGTCCCCCCCGTCTCTCTACACCGAGAGTCTCCTTGAGAGTCTCCATGTCCCGTCCATCCCACGAGTCTCCATGTCCCCCCACGAGTCTCCATGTCCCCCGTCCCTCTCTACACCGAGAGTCTCCATGTCCCCCCATCCCACGAGTCTCCATGTCCCCCGTCCCTCTCTACACCGAGAGTCTCCGCGGGTGTCCCCCCCATCCCACGTCCCCCCCCTCTCTATCCCACAAGTCTCCATGTCCCGTCCCCCCCCCCGTCCCTCTCTACACCGAGAGTCCCATGTCCCCCCAGAGTCTCCATGTCCCCCCCCTCTCTACACCGAGAGTCTCCATGTCCCCCCATCCAACGAGTCTCCATGTCCCCCCGTCCCTCTCTACATCGAGAGTCTCTCCATGTCCCCCCCATGTCCCCCCCACACCCATGTCCCCCCGAACCTTTGCCAAGTTCCTGGGTCTGCACCCCACTTACTTGATCATGTGATTGGCGTAGGCGCGGGAGCAGCAGGTGGCGTAGCGGCACAGAGAGCAGTGCACATAGGTGGGGAAATGGTTATGGAAGTCGGGGATCTCGAAGTTACACTCCAGGCAGGTCTGCTTCTCCTCCACAACCCTGAGGAACCACAGCGAAGGTTAGTGACCACGGGATTACAACAGGAATCTGTAACCTGCCCCCCCCCCCTCCAGAAAAAGGCTCCCCGCCCCCCTCCTAGTGAGGGCTCACTGCCTCTTCCCCTCCCTCCGGTAAACAACTCACCGCCCCACCCCTCCCGGTAAACGCCTCGCCCCACCCCTCCCGGTAAAGGGCTCACCGCCCCCCCCTCCCGGTAAAGGACTCACCGCCCCACCCCTCCTGGTAAAGGACTCACCGCCCCACCCCTCCCGGTAAAGGACTCACCGCCCCCCCTTCCCGGTAAAGGACTCACCGCCCCCCTTCCCGGTAAAGGACTCACCGCCCCCCTCCCGGAAAAACACTCACCGCCCCCCCTCCGGAAAACACCTCACCGCCCCCCCCCCCCCGGTAAACGCCTCACCGCCCGCCCCCCCCCTGGAAAACGCCTCACCGCCTCCCCCTCCCGAAAAACGCCTCTCCGCCCCCCCCTCCCGGATAAACGCCTCACCGCCTCCCCCCTCCCGGTAAACGCCTCACACCGCCCCCCTCCCGGTAAACGCCTCACCGCCCCCCTCCCGGTTAAACGCCTCACCGCCCCCCCTCCCGGTAAACACCTCACCGCCCCCCCTCCCGGTAAACGCCTCACCGCCCCCCCCTCCCGGTAAACGGCTCCCTCCCCGGCTTACAAATGGCTCAATGCTTTTCCATTAAGTCTTCACGAATGTTAGCTGCCACTAGGCAAGCTGTCCTGATCACAAGATCACTGTGACAGCCAATCAGAGATCAGGAAGCGGATGTATCGCCCCCCCCCCCCCCCCAAGCAGTTACATCTCTGGCAGTAGAAAGGCGTGGCTGTCCACGAATTACAAGCGTGGTTTCATCCACAAGCCAACACTGCGAAGGAGAACATTCACCAGTTTCCAGACACGGCTTACAGCAAGAAACGTTTGTGAAGTCGCACTTCCTACATTGCAGAGGATGATGGGAAACGCACGAGCCAGTAACTAACCGGTTGGGGAATGCGATGATTGGCAAGGTGTCCACAGGATGGCGGAGAGCCTGGGGTGTCATATCTGGTGGCGGCATCATTGGGGCGTCTACGGTGGTCATAGAATTCCTGGGGGGTCCTCGGAGGCTCGGATAGTCACCTGCAGAAAAAAGGGAGGAGTTATCGGCACGTCATGCCGCGCAGGACAAACGTCACCCGACGCCGCATCCCCCGCGCCTCACCTTCGTCCCGGGCTTCAGCCCCTCCAGCTGACGCGGTTTGCGGAAGGTTTTATGGTGCTGCAGCTTGTGCTCGATCTTGTCTTTCGCGAACAGAAACTGAAGGCGGCATTTGTTACAGTGGTAGACGTTCTTCTGCTCGTGTAGGGTGCGTGTAATGGGGGGGGGGGGGGGGAAACAATAAAACACATTAAAAAACAGCTCATGTGTACAAAAAAAAAAACCCCCCCCAGGTGATATGCGGCCACTTTGGGCAGCACCTAATCCCCCCGTTCCTGTAATGGGGTCACTGCCTCTTCCAGAAGACTTCTTGAAGCTCAACCGGGACCCGCAGGGAAGCGGCCCTCTCCTCCTTGGAGCAACGAAGAAACTATACATCCCATCATGCACTGGGTTGGCAGGAAAATGTTGGGCATTCATTAGGCAGGTCCAGAGTGGATTATATGATGTAAGAGGGTGGAGATCATAAAAATCCCCCCCCCCCCCCCAAAAAACAAGGAGGATTCCCTCCCCGCAGGGAAGCAGCCGGCTCCCCCTTCAAACAACAAAGAACTATACATCCCATCATGCACTGGGTTGGCAATGAAAATGGTGGGCAGGATAAGGGGGTGGAGATCATAGAAACCCCCCCCCCCCCCCCCCGAAAAACAGGAAGTCCCCCTCCCCGCAGGGAAAGCGGGCCCCAGTCTCCCTGCCCGCAGGGAAAGGGAAAGCGGGCCCCGTCTCCCTGCCCGCAGGGAAAGCGGGCCCCGTCTCCCTCCCTGCGGGCCCCGCAGGGAAAGCGGGCCCCGTCTCCCTGCCCGCAGGGAAAGCGGGCCCCGTCTCCCTGCCCGCCCCCGTCTCCCCCGCAGGGAAAGCCCTCCCAGGGAAAGCGGGCCCCGTCTCCCTGCCCGCAGGGAAAGCGGGCCCCGTCTCCCTGCCCGCAGGGAAAGCGGGCCCCGTCCCTCCCTGCCCCCTGCAGGGAAAGCGGGCCCCGTCTCCCTGCCCGCAGGGAAAGCGGGCCCCGTCTCCCTGCCCGCAGGGAAAGCGGGCCCCGTCTCCCTGCCCGCAGGGAAAGCGGGCCCCGTCTCCCTGCCCGCAGGGAAAGCGGGCCCCGTCTCCCTGCCCGCAGGGAAAGCGGGCCCCGTCTCCCTCCCCGCAGGGAAGCGGCCCTCTCCTCCTTCCTCCTTGGAGCGCCAAAGAACTATACATCCCATCATGCACTGGGTTGGCACTGAAAATGTTGGACAATCATTAGATAGGGTAAGAGGGTGGAGATAAAAAAAAACAAAAAAAAAAAAAAACCCAGGAAGTCCCCACTCCGTTATGATAGTACCGCCCCCCGATTAAAGATTTTGCCTGGATTGGATGAGATTGGTGGAATGTGGGAGGAGATCATCCCGGGAGTTCGGCCTCGAACATTTCCCGCACTCAGACCTCTTACCTGATGACGCATGAAGTGCTGCTGGAAGGCGTTGCCGTTTTTGAACACCTTGAGGCAGTACACGCACAGGAGGTACCGCGTGTCTTCGTGGTTGAGTCGGAAGTGCGTGTCCACCTCGGCGTAGATGGAGGAGCGGTAGGCGCACACCTGGAAGACACACGAAGAGGAGATGGAACGATCGTCCCAATGCAGATCGCAGCGTGCCTGGCCATCGATCGGCGGTCTCTATGAAGGCTGTCTACACGCCGGCGGACAGATTTGCTCATTAATAACTTAACTCCGCCTCCCGCTCGCCAACTGCGTGGCCTCCGCCTCCCTCTTAACCCCTCCCCCTCCAGAGGATTTTCTCCCCCTTCCTGCCCAGACCATTGTTTGCATTACTTGGACTGACTATTGCACGGTCATGCAACGCTTCACCCCAATGGAGTTTATGTCCCTCTTTTCCCCCACAAATAGAGCTTTTTGGTGGTTTGTGATCACCTCCGCGGGTTTTATTTACACTATAAACAAACAAACAAAAAAAAAAAAAAAAAAGATTTTTGGGAGAAAAAAAAAAAAAAAAAAAAAAAAAAAAAAAAACCCCCATAATATTTTTGACTTTTTGCTATAAAAACACATCCAGGAAAAAAAAAAAAAAAAAAAAAAGTTAAAAATCCCAATACGTGTAAAATAATTGGTTTACGCGAAAGTTACAGCGTCTACAAATGGCGGTATTTTTTATACTAGCAATGGCGGCGATCAGCGACTTATAGCGGGACTGCGGCGGGCATTCTGACACTGGGGGGGGGGACTAACTTGGTGTCACTGACATCTCCAGTGACACCAATACAGTGATCAGTGTTCACAAAAAGCACTGAAGTGTACTAATGGCGCCGGGCAGAAAGGGGTTAATATGTGGGGCGATCAAAGGGTTAACTGTGTGTTGTGTTACTAGGCAGACAAGCTGTGCAGAGATACAAAGCAGCATGTCCTCGCGGACAGGAGAGAGATCGGTGTGGATTACATACAGACCCCTCCCCTGTCAGTCTTACTTGGCGATCACACACCGCACCCCCTAATTTGGATTTTAAGGGGAACCCCACACCAAAAATTAAAAAAAAAAAAAAAAAAAAAACACCACCACAACAAAAGAAGACACGCCATGGGTTTTCCCCCAAAAGCGAGTACCTGAAGTGCCAGGTATGGATAGGGGGGGGAGGATCCACAAGCTGCCCCCCCCCCCCCCGAGAAAAAAAAAAAATCCAAACCAAAAAGAAAATAAAAAAAAACAAAAAAAAAACAAACCTCGAAACAAAAAACACAACAAACAAAAAAGAAGACGCGCCATGGGGTTTCCCCCAAAAGAGAGAGTACCCAAAATGCCAGGTGTGGATGGGAGGGGGGGGGGGGAAGGACCCCAAGCTGTTTCATTCCCCCCCCTCAAATTTGTCTGGAGAAAGAAAAAATCCAAAAACAAAAATCAAAACCACAAAAAAGGAAAATAAAAAGAAACAAAAAAAAAAAAAAAAAACCCCAAAACAAAAAAAAACCAAAACACAAAAAAAAAAAAAAACAAACAGCCACCCCTGTCCCTGGATCCAGCGGATTTCACCGGCCATCCTTGCTCCCAGGATCTGGCATCTCAGAGCCGGGGGCACATACGGGGGGGCCCTCAGCACATACGTGACTAGGGGGCTGAATCTTGTGTATGGACCGGTCACATGTCCCAGAAGACTACGGGGGAGGGGGAGGGAGGACAACACCCGCTTCCAATCACCTAGGCGATCGCAGCGGAAGGGGGTACCTGTCAAAAATCGGGCTCCCGCTCCCCAAAAGGCGCCAATTCCTCGAGGGGGGGGGACCGGTACTTAGAGCTGAACTTCCCTTTTGGGTGGAGCTCCGCTTTAAAAATAATCTCGAGTGAACTTTTTGCCCGGAGATCCCCCTTGACTCCAGTTTCCTCCTGCGAGGCCCCCGGACTGACCTGGCACACGTAGGGCATCTCTCCCGGTTTGTGGGTGTCCTTCATATGCTGCAAGAAGAGGGGTTCGCTGTCGAAGGCCCATTCACAAATCTTGCACTTTGCTACAAAAAGAAAGAAGAGGGAAATCAGCGACTCCACCGGCAGGAGGAGACCCCACCGCCCCCCCCGACTTCGTAGCCAAAACAAGATGGCGGTGGCCAGGTTGTGCCCACTGATGGTACTCACTGGTGGACTCGTAGGAGCTGTGAACGTTCTCTAGGTGGCACTGCAGCTGGAAGGGGGTGGAGAACTGGCGGTAGCAGTGCTGGCACGTGGTATGTCCGTCCACCTCGCCGTTCTGCTGGTCCAGCTCCACGTGGTGCTTCATGTGGTTCATAAACCTGCGAGAAAGACAAAACCGGAACCACGGGTTATATACAGGTAACCTTTACCCCCTGCCCCCGCCCCTTCCCTAAGCACCCCACCCCTAGACACCACCCCCCATCCCTAGGCACCCCTCCCCCATAATAGACTCCAATGAAAAAACTCCTTACCCACTACAGTTTACTCTGCCCTAGCCAAGTCTCTGACCGCACAGCTAAAGGGATGCCAGTTCTCATGTCTCTGCCCCAGCCCAAGTCTCTGACCGCACAGCTAAAGGGATGCCAGTTCTCATGTCTCTGCCCCAGCCCAAGTCTCTGACCGCACAGCTAAAGGGATGCCAATTCTCATGTCTCTGCCCCAGCCCATGTCTCTGACCGCACAGGTAAAGGGATGCCAATTCTCATGTCTCTGCCCCAGCCCATGTCTCTGACCGCACAGGTAAAGGGATGCCAATTCTCATGTGTCTGCCCCAGCCCAAGTCTCTGACCGCCCGCACAGCTAAAGGGATGCCAATTCTCATGTCTCTGCCCCAGCCCATGTCTCTGACCGCACAGCTAAAGGGATGCCAATTCTCATGTCTCTGCCCCAGCCCAAGTCTCTGACCGCACAGCTAAAGGGATGCCAATTCTCATGTCTCTGCCCCAGCTCATGTCTCTGACCGCACAGCTAAAGGGATGCCAGTTCTCATGTCTCTGCCCCAGCTCATGTCTCTGACCGCACAGCTAAAGGGATGCCAATTCTCATGTCTCTGCCCCAGCCCAAGTCTCTGACCGCACAGCTAAAGGGATGCCAGTTCTCATGTCTCTGCCCCCAGCCCAAGTCTCTGACCGCACAGCTAAAGGGATGCCAGTTCTCATGTCTCTGCCCCAGCCCATGTCTCTGACCGCACAGCTAAAGGGATGCCAGTTCTCATGTCTCTGCCCCAGCCCAAGTCTCTGACCATACAGCTAAAGGGATGCCAATTCTCATGTCTCTGCCCCAGCCCAAGTCTCTGACCATACAGCTAAAGGGATGCCAATTCTCATGTCTCTGCCCCAGCCCATGTCTCTGACCACACAGGTAAAGGGATGCCAATTCTCATGTCTCTGCCCCAGCCCAAGTCTCTGACCGCACAGCTAAAGGGATGCCAGTTCTCATGTCTCTGCCCCAGCCCAAGTCTCTGACCGCACAGCTAAAGGGATGCCAGTTCTCATGTCTCTGCCCCAGCCCAAGTCTCTGACCGCACAGCTAAAGGGATGCCAGTTCTCATGTCTCTGCCCCAGCCCAAGTCTCTGACCGCACAGCTAAAGGGATGCCAATTCTCATGTGTCTGCCCCAGCCCAAGTCTCTGACCGCACAGCTAAAGGGATGCCAATTCTCATGTCTCTGCCCCAGCCCAAGTCTCTGACCGCACAGCTAAAGGGATGCCAGTTCTCATGTCTCTGCCCCAGCCCATGTCTCTGACCACACAGCTAAAGGGAAGCCAGTTCTCATGTCTCTGACCAGGGATACGGGGGATGCTTGATCTCATAGCACCAAAAACAAGATGGCGGCTTTATTTTTCATCAATGTTTCGATACGCTTTGAATTTCCCATGACTATCCCACGAGAGTGTTATCACAGCTCTTACCGTGAAGAATCCTTTCCCAAGCGTACGGTCAAACCGGTACAAAGAGCACCAACAACGGCTCACGGCAAAGCTTACAATATGGCCGCCTCCCGGAACGGCATCGGTCACGCCTACCTGATGTTGTTCTTCAGTCTCTTGTTGCAGTGGGGACAGCGGAAGGTGGTGGCGGCCACTTTGGACGCTCCCTGCATCTGGTAAGTCTGACCGACGTCCCGGCCGTAGTAGAAGTCGTCCACCAACATGATGAGCTTGCCTTGCGAGGCGTCGTCCTCCAGGTTCTTGCCAGATTGAGAGGTCATGCCGCCGGGAGTTGTGGCCGTGGCCGGCTTGTCTGGGCTGGTGGACTTGGCCCCTTGCGGGGTCAGCTGGGACTCCGAGTTGGCCTTTTTGGAGAAGTCCACGAGGTCGGGACAACAGTACTGAAAAAACAAGGAGGATGAGACAGATGAAGGCCACGATTATGTCCCACCATTCTCGGAGAACCGGACCCAACAAGAGCTTCCTGTGGCCATGCGGGGTTTTTTTCTCTTTAGGAGTGGGAGGAGCTACGACAACACTGCCGGTATCCATCAGACCTGGATGTACGGCCAGAACTGTACTACTCAAAAAGTGGGAGGAGTTTCTGAAAATATCAACAGGGCCTCGATGGGTGTGACCCCACCCATCAATGTGACTCCACCCATCAATGTGACCCCACCCATCAAGGCCATGTTGATATTTTCATATCATGGGAGGCTCCCACTCCTCCAGGCCGATCCTAGGGGGGGGGGGGGGGCCCGCTCCCCCAGGCTAACCCCACGAGCGCCCCGCTCCCCCAGGCCAACCCCACGAGCGCCCGCTCCCCCAGGCCAACCCCACGAGCGCCCGCTCCCCCAGGCCAACCCCACGAGCGCCCGCTCCCCCAGGCCAACCCCACGAGCGCCCGCTCCCCCAGGCCAACCCCACGACCCAGCCGACCCCAACGCTCCCCCCCCCCAGGCCGACCCGTCTGGAGGAGTGGGTGCTCCTAGGCAGGCTGTATTTGCCTAGGCCACGCCCACCTGCAATGCTCCATGATGAAAAGACCTGAAATCCAACGAAGGAAAGGGGTGGGGCCAGGAACAGAAAGTCCTGTATTATTCCTTCCAATGCAAATCCTGCCCCGACGCGTTTCGCCCTCAAGAGCTCAGTCCTACTGTACAGCGAAACGCGTTGGAAATTGGTGGAGCAGTCCATGTGCCAAAAGGGGTTCAAATATTTTTCTACAAGGCTTTTATAAGAAGGAGAGGGTCTCCATTTTTTATTTTACTTAACCCTCTGGTGGGCCCTTTAAGGGGGTTTCAGGAGGTGGGGGGGGGTTGTGATCACGACTGCCATGATTGGCTTCCACGTGATTGGAAAGTTCCCGAATGCAAGCCGGTAACTGTGTCGGGAACCTCTCGGCGTGAAGCTCCGCCCACCGAGAGGCGTATGGTCCGGCGCGAAAGAAGCACCATGCTAATGAATCAAGTAGCAAAACGGTCAGAAGCCTGCCCCCGCTGGTGGGAGGATCGAAGGGGAGGACTACCTGTAGCTCAGTCCTTTCACAAACATTCGATATACGACCGTCATGGACTTACACACATATGTCCTCGAAGGGCTTCCACGACTCGGAAGGAAGTCTGACATCTGGGGCAGTGCTTTCTATCCAAGTTTTCCTGCAGGGTCACAGATGGGGACGATACTGCGATGGAGAGAAGGAGACACGTCACAGGCGTCCGGCGGGCCCGGTGGGACCCTAGCCGAAGGTCCTATTTTGCTCGGACCTACCCGTCACCCCGAGGGGCTCCAACTGGATGCTCTTCTGTACGGTGCCCAAGCCGGGGCCGGTGCCGTTATTTCCCACGGTGCTGGAGAGGATGAGCTGGGTGGAATTGTGGGTGGTCGTCTGGCTCCCGCTCATGGCGTTGACAAACTTCACCACGTCGTTGGTCTCACCGGTGCTCTTCACCGCCACAAAAACTGGCAATGCTCACTGCGGAGAACAAAGGGGGGGTCATTCAGGTTTTTTTTGGGTTTTGTGGCTGGCTACTACAGGGGGGTTCCTCCCCTTCCATGCTGGAGGTGGGCTTTAAAGGGGACCTCCACTTTAGCCAAACAGGTTCTCTTTAAGGGCCCCCCCCTAAACAGCAGGACATACTCACCTTGCTTTAGCTCCTCCGCTGGTCTATTCAGCCACCAGTACACCCTGGGAGTCCCTCTAGTCACAGCTTACACCGGGTTGAGCCGTGTCACCATGGCCCCTAAAAAACAGCACTGGTCCAACGACCAAGGGCCACTACTGTTTTGAAGTCACATGCTCCTCCACACCTGGAACTACGGGGCTTTTTATGAATTCCTGCGGTGGAGGAGCAAAATGACCGTTCTTACTGGGAAGGATTCCCCTAAAGGTTCCTTGTAGACCACGGGTGTCAAACTGGTGTGGGGGCCCTCCAGCTGTTGCCAAACTACAAGTCCCATGAGGCATTGCAAGATTGGGAGTTATGCTTGTAACTGTCAATCTTGCAATGCCTCATGGGACTTGTAGTTTGGCAACAGCTGGAGGTCCGCCAGTTTGACACCCAAGTCCCATCATGCCTCTACCTTTGTAAGATTGACAGTTACAAGCGTGATTCCCAAAGCCTCATGGGACTTGTAGTTTGGCAACAGCTGGAGGTCCGCCAGTTTGCCACCCAAGTCCCATCATGCCTTCGGGAGTCATGCTTGTAACTATCAAAGGCATGATGGGACTTTGTTAACAGCTGGAGGTCCGCCAGTTTGACACCCAAATCCCATCATGCCTTTGATAGTTACAAGCATGACTCCCAAAGGCATGATGGGACTTGGGTGGCAAACTGGCGGACCTTCAGCTGTTGCCAAACTACAAGTCCCATGAGGCTTTGGGAATCACGCTTGTAACTGTCAATCTTGCAAAGGTAGAGGCATGATGGGACTTGTAGCTTCACAACAACTGGAAGGCCACCAGTTTGACACCCCTGTTGTAGAGAGACCTGGAGGACGCCATATTATTGGAGTCAAGGATAGACTTGCAACTGGGAGGCCTCCCTACAGTCCACCAAAATGGCCATGGCCCCAAAAACTGATCCCAGCCCCCCCCATTCAGCTTCCTCACCCCTGTAACTGATCAAGTCACTTGACGCTCCATAGGTCTGTAGGCGGAGTCCTTCTTTGGGTGTCCATATCACTGTCTGCGTGACATGGATACGTCTTATTGGCTGTCCAGTGGTGGGAACCTAACAAGATTCAGGAGGAGACGACTCTGCAGCAGCAACGTCCACACACAAGGAGACTATTGGGGATTGGCCAGCTTGGCCCTCTCCATTTCATCAGTCATGTGACTAAAGAGATCTCCATTTTGTTTTCCTTACCTAGTTTGGGGTTGGTGCTGGGATTATTCTGGTTCTGCGGAATGGTCAGCGTCTGCACCGGCTGCTGCACCGTGATCTGTCGGAGTGGCTGGCTGGGCGACAGCGTGGTCGACGTGCTGGAGATCGGCTTGCTGACCTGACCCTGGGACTGCGGCACCGGGCTCCTTATGGTCAGGGTGGCCGGGATGACCGTGGTGAAAGTGTTGGTGGCGGGACGCACGGGGACGGTGGAAGCTTGCCTGACCTGGGTCACCTGTGAGAAGACCTGAGGGACGCCCACTGCTGGCTTCATAAACTGGGTGCCCGGAGCTGGAAAAAAAGGAAACGAAAAAAAAAAAAAGAAGACTTTAGAACGGGCCTGGCACCCATAAGGGCCTAGTCCGCCCCCAAGGGGGCCAAGGGGGCCTAGGCCGGGGCCTAGCCCGCGCCCAAGGGGGCCGGGGCCTAGGCCCAAAGGGGGCCTAGTCCGCGCCCAAGGGGGCCTAGGCCGGGGCCTAGCCGCCCCAAGGGGGCCTAGTCCGGGGGGGCCTAGGCCGGGGCCTAGTCCGCGCCCAAGGGGGCCTAGGCCGGGGCCTAGTCCGCGCCCAAGGGGGCCTAGGCCGGGGCCTAGTCCGCGCCCAAGGGGGCCTAGGCCTAGCCGCCACAGAGGGGGCCGAGTGCTGGAGTAGTCTTACCTGGTACGATGGTGATGGGTCTGACTGTCTGTCCCTGCTGAACGTTCAGAACAATTCCTACTTGATTCATTGCGTTCACCGTGTTTACCGTGTTCTGCACCGGCCGGACGTTCCTAACCGGAAAACCCTGCAAAGAAAGCCATTGGAGAAAACATGAAGGAAACCGGTCCCAGCTTGAGTTACCGGGCTTCTGGTCATGTGAGAAGTACTGGTGGGAGCCACAGAGGTACTGGTGGGAGCCACAGAGGTACTGGTGGGAGCCAACCGCAGCACACGTGTCATTCTGTATTTCCGGGTAGGAGGCGCATGCACCCTACCTGTGCCGCCATTCACGACCGCCAATCACCGGGTCCCAGCCGGTAATTACCCGCCGGCGCCCATTGATTACCAAGCATCTCCGACAGGGAGGAAGATTGTTTTGTTTACAAACAGTCCTGTCAGCTCAGGCACACCGCACAGCACAGCCACCCAGAGCAGTGGGATTACAGTGAAGCGCACAGACCCCGCCCCCTAGTAAAACACTCCCAGCACACAGTTAACCCTTTGATCGCCCTTCACGTTAACCCCTTCCTGCCCAGTGCCGTTCGTGCAGTGTCAGCGCTTTTTTTTTTTTTTTTTTTGCACTAATCACTGTATAGGTGTCACTGGGGATGTCAGTGACACCAAGTCAGTTCCCCCCCCCCAGTGTCAGAATGTGCGCCGCAGTCCCGCTAGCACTGATCACTGTATTGGTGTCACTGGGGATGTCATTGACACCAAGTCAGTTCCCCCCCAGTGTCACCGCAGTCGCGGACCGCCATTACTAGTAAGAAAAAAAAAGAAAAAATCCCATTATCTATACCGCCATTTGTAAACGCTATAACTTATGTAAACCAATGAATTTCCACGTATTGGGTTTTTTTTTTTTAGCACGGAGCAGAATACATTTATGCCGAAATTTGATTTTTTTTTTATATTTTTTACTGGACGTGTTTAATAGCAAAAAGTCCAAAATATTGTTTTTTTTCTCAAAATTGGTCTTTTTTTTTGTTTTTTTTTTTTTTTTTTTTTGCGATAAAACACAAAAGGCGATCAAATACCACCGAAGGAAAGCTCAATTTCTGGGGAAAAAAAAAAATGTAAATAAATTTGGGTGCAGCGTAATTGTCAGTTAAAGTAACGCAGCGCCCTAACGCAAAAAATGGCCTGGTCAGGAGGGGTGGGGGGGGGGGGGGGGGGGGGGTAAATCCTCTGGAGTGGGAGGGGTTAATAAAGCTTTTTTCCCTACCTGTGCCGTTATGAAGATGGGCTGTGCCGTCACCGAGTTGTTGGTGGCGTGGTTGGCGTTCTGCATGACTTGCATGGGTCGCAGCATGGGCTGGGTCATCACGGTGCCGATACCAGGTGTGGTGTTCTGGGTCAGGATGAGAGGTTGGGAGCCGGACTGCACGATTGGTGTGGAACCTGAAAAGGGGAAGACGATGAAGGTTTTCCTCCAGCATACGTTGAGCTCAGTCTTTATTTCAGAGTACATTTCAACCTACAATGATTTCAAGCAACACAGAATGGGAATTTCCAATCTGGAAGGTTTTAGGAGCTGCTGTGCCCCCGACTCTCCCACAGAGCACTCATAAATTGGGCTTCAGCCTGGGATGGAGCTGCTATGCCCGACTCTCCCATAGAGCACTCATAAATTGGGCTTCAGCCTGAGATGGAGCTGCTGTGTCCTGGCTCTCCCATAGAGCGCTCATAAATTGGGCTTCAGCCTGGGATGGAGCTGCTGTGCCCTGGCTCTCCCATAGAGCACCCATAAATTGGGCTTCAGCCTGGGATGGAGCTGCTGTGCCCTGGCTCTCCCATAGGGCACCCATAAATTGGGCTTCAGCCTGGGATGGAGCTGCTGTGCCCTGGCTCTCCCATAGGGCACCCATAAATTGGGCTTCAGCCTAGGATGGAGCTGCTGTGCCCTGGCTCTCCCATAGGGCACCCATAAATTGGGCTTAAGCCTGAGATGGAGCTGCTGTGCCCTGGATCTCCCATAGGGCATTCAAAATTGTGTTTCAGCCTGGGATGCAGCTGCTGTGTCCTGGCTCTCCCATGAAGCATTCATAAATTGGGCTTCAGCCTGAGATGGAGCTGCTGTGCCCGACTCTCCCATAGACCACCCATAAATTGGGCTTCAGCCTGAGATGGAGCTGCTGTGCCCTGGCTCTCCCATAGAGCACTCATAAATTGGGCGTCAGTCTGGAATGGAGCTGCTGTGCCCTGGCTCTCCCATAGGTTAGGCACCCGTAAATTGGGCTTCAGTCTGGAATGGAGCTGCTATGCCCCTGGCGTTCCCATAGGGCACTCATAAATTGGGCTTCAGCTGCTGTGTCCTGGCTCTCCCATTGGGCGCTCAAATTGGGCTTCAGCCTAGGATGCAGCTGCTGTGTCCTGGCTCCCCTATAGGGTGCTCATAAATTGGGCTTCAGCCTAGGATGCAGCTGCTGTGTCCTGGCTCCCCTATAGGGTGCTCATAAATTGGGCTTCAGCCTAGGATGCAGCTGCTGTGCCCTGGCTCCCCCATAGGGCGCTCATGATTTGGGCTGCAGCCTAGGGTGTAGCTACAGTCAGCACATACAGACAAAAATTATTTATTTTTTTTTTAAATTGCGCAACACAGCTACGGATTAGAGCGGGACCAGGTGCTACATGAACTTGGTCCCCAGGAGGATACCACAACGACTTCTGGTGATACTTCACGCTCGAACAAATAAAAGCGGTGAGACATAAAAGGGTTCTTTTACGATCTGCAGTCTGACCTCCAATCCAGATCACACCTCTACAGCAGCATTCCGTAACGCGCTTTCTCCTTCAGGCAATGGCCACCTCCAATGGAGGACAGGGATCTCGGCTATTGCAGGCACGCCGGGCCTCCTAAGGAGGTCCCCCCCCCTTTAGGATTTACCCTTGTGAATCATTTCATGGAGATTTCTAGACATCTACTCACCGCTGTTATTGGCGATGAGCGTCAGCAACGTCTTCTTGGTGTTGTCCGTGTTCTGGGCGATGGTGTTGGTCACAGTGGCGGCCGTAGTGTACTGGGTGCCCAGTGTCTGAGCGACAACAGGAAGGGTTGCAGTGACTGGCTGGATGTTGACGGACACTGGAAGAGAAGACAGAGAATCACACGTTGGACTACAACTCAACAATGTGGTGACAAAGGGGAGCAACCATGGAAATCAAAGGTTCCGGTTATTGGTTGCCCCAGGCGGTCACTGCGGTTGGTTGTCACAGTGGTCACAAGATTGGTGGCCTGTCCTACTGGCTTCTGATCATCTCACTTCAGATGTCTCCATCCAACGCCCCACCCATTTTCTGTTCTCGGGGCTGCTGGTGAACATACCTTGCAGGGCAGCCATGTCCACCACCAGTCTGCATGTCATGGAAATCAAATTTTAGATTCCGGTTATTGGTTGCCCTGGGTTACTTCTTCAAGTCCCTTCCTGCATGCTCCTGTTGGCCCAGGGGTGTATCATTTGGTCACTACGGTTGGCTGTCACAGTGGTCACAAGATTGGTGGCCTGTCCTACTGGCTTCTGATCATCTCACTTCAGATGTCTCCATCCACCGCCCCACCCATTTTCTGGGTGAACATATCTTGCAGGGCAGCCATGTCCACCACCAGTCTGCATGCCATGGAAATCAAATTTTAGGTTCCGGTTATTGGTTGCCCCAGGTTAGTTTTCTTCCTGCATGCTCCTGTTGGCCCAGGGGTGTTACATGTGGTCACTACGGTTGGCTGTCACAAGATTGGTAGCCTGCCCTACTGGCTTTCTGATCTCACTTCAGATGTCTCCATCCACTGCTCCACCCCTTTTCTCTTCTCCGGGGCTGCTGGTGAACATAGCTTGCAAGGCAGCCATGTCAACCACCAGTCTGCATGCCATGGAAATCAAATTTTAGGTTCCGGTTATTGGTTGCCCCAGATTACTTTTCTTAAGCCCCTTTCCTGCATGCTCCTGTCGGCCCAGGGGTGTTACATGTGGTCACTATGGTTGGCTGTCACAGTGGTCACAAGATTGGGGACCTGTCCTACTGGTTTCTCAACATCTCACTTCAGATGTCTCCATCCACCGCCCCACCGCCTTTCTGTTCTCTGGGCTGCTGGTGAACATAGGTTGCAGGGCGGCCATGTCCACCACCAATCTGCATGCCATGGAAATCAAATTTTAGGTTCTGGTTATTGGTTGCCCTGGGTTAATTATTTTTAGGACCCTTCCTGCCTGCTCCTGTTGGCCCAGAGTGTTACATGTGGTCACTACGGTTGGCTGTCACAAGATTGGTCGCCTGTCCTACTGGCGTCTGATCATCTCACTTCAGATGTCTCCATCCACCGCCCCACCCCTCTTCTGTTCTCTGCGCTGCTGGTGAACATAGCTTGCAGGGCAGCCATGTCCACCACCAGTCTGGCACGTGGCAACTCCGTATCGAGAAATATTTTCCCAAACCGACATCCCTACAACCGCCCTGTGTGGCTACTGTAAGATCCAAGATGGAGGATACCTGTGCTGGTCTTGTCCATATAGCTGTAATCCTCCACCACCGAGTCTTCGATCACATCGCTGATCTTCTGCCATGGCTCCAGCTCCTCCTCCTCACACTCCATAAACAGATCCGTGTCCATCTTGCTAAAAGGTAAAAAAAAACACACCAATTATAGGGTCTGTAAACCACAACCACGAACTTCTCTTCTTTGCCTCCTTTTGGTCTGTTAACTAGATCAGTGAAATGGTTTTGCCGACCTCCTTCTTCCTGCCGGTGACCCCTCTAGTGATATAAACATCTAGATAGAGAAATCAGGACCTCCTTCCTCCCGCTGGTGACCTCTCAAGTGATAAATAGGCGAATTGGGACCTCCTTCCTCCTGCTGGTGACCCCTCAAGTGATATAAAGATCTATATAGAGGAATCAGGACCTCCTTCCTCCTGCCGGTGACCCCTCTAGTGATAGATCTATATAGAGGAATCAGAACCTCCTTCCTCCTGCCGCTGACCCCTCTCAGTCTATATAGAGGAAACAGGACCTCCTTCCTCCTGCCAGTGACCCCTCTAGTGGTATAAAGACCTATATAGAGGAATCAGGACCTCCTTCCTCCTGCCGGTGACCCTTCTAGTGATAGGATTTATATAGAGGAATCAGGACCTCCTTCCTCCTGCCGGTGACCCCTCTCAGTCTATATAGAGGAAACAGGACCTCCTTCCTCCTGCTGGTGACCCCTCTAGTGATATAAAGATCTATATAGAGGAATCAGGACCTCCTTCCTCCTGCCGGTGACCCCTCTAGTGGTATAAAGATCTATATAGAGGAATCAGGACCTCCTTCCTCCTGCCGGTGACCCCTCTAGTGATAGGATCTATATAGAGGAATCAGGACCTCCTTCCTCCTGCTGGTGACCCCTCTAGTGATATAAAGATCTATATAGAGGAATCAGGACCTCCTTCCTCCTGCTGGTGACCCCTCTAGTGATATAAAGATCTATATAGAGGAATCAGGACCTCCTTCCTCCTGCTGGTGACCCCTCTAGTGATAGGATCTATATAGAGGAATCAGGACCTCCTTCCTCCTGCCGGTGACCCCTCTAGTGATAGGATCTATATAGAGGAATCAGGACCTCCTTCCTCCTGCCGGTGACCCCTCTAGTGATAGGATCTATATAGAGGAATCAGGACCTCCTTCCTCCTGCCGGTGACCCCTCTAGTGATAGGATCTATATAGAGGAATCAGGACCTCCTTCCTCCTACCACCCGTGGTGGTTATTTAAGTGTATGATTTATTTATATTTAGATGGGTTTATTGTTTTTGGATATATTATGGTTGTTGTGGGTTTAATTATTAGGTTTTTTAATTTAATATTATTTTGAGTATTTAATTTTTTGTTATAAATCTCTAGGTCTATATAGAGGAATCAGGACCTCCTTCCTCCTGCCGGTGACCCCTCTAGTGATATAAAGATCTATATAGAGGAATCAGGACCTCCTTCCTCCTGCTGGTGACCCCTCTAGTGATAGGATCTATATAGAGGAATCAGGACCTCCTTCCTCCTGCCGGTGACCCCTCTAATGATAGGATCTATATAGAGGAATCAGGACCTCCTTCCTCCTGCTGGTGACCCCTCTAGTGATAGGATCTATAGAGGAATTAGGACCTCCTTCCTCCTGCCGGTGACCCCTCTAATGATAGGATCTATATAGAGGAATCGGGACCTCCTTCCTCCTGCCGGTGACCCCTCTAATGATAGGATCTATATAGAGGAATCAGGACCTCCTGCCGGTGACCCCACTAGTGATAGGATCTATATAGAGGAATCAGGACCTCCTTCCTCCTGCCGGTGACCCCTCTAGTGATGTAAAGATCAGAATATAAAAGCGCTGGTAATTAATTAAATAATATATAGTAAACATAATACTGGTTTCATCCGGTTTCCATGGAGACTGCAATTGCTACTCAAACCAGTTCTCAGCCAGTTGTATATGCGCCCTGGTATCCTTTTCTTGGCGTTGACTGAGGGACACAGAAGCCTCAAACCTTTGGGTTATACTCCCGCCTATAGGAGGATTACGCCCTGGCAAGAGAACAAACTGAAGGCCAGACCAGTATAGCCCCTCCTGCTCCCAGGATGCCTCAGTTTTGTAGTAAAGCAGTACCAAGAACTCGAATTTGTGTCCTTTAATGGACCCAACAAAAGAATTTTCCACCGACAACGAAAATCATAGTTTTCTTTCTTGTTCATTGAGGGACAAAATCACCTCACAGCTCAAACAGCTACCTGAAAGACCTTCTACCCCCAAGCTGGCATTACATGAAGTCTGAACCTCTACCTGGTAAAATATGGAGAAGATCAGGGAGCCGCCTTGCAAATCTAGAAAACATTTGCTTGGCGCCAAAAATCCCAAGAGGCGTTCACAGTAGTAGAGTGCGCCTTGACATGAAAGAGTAGAATCTGATCCTTGAGACCATAACCTTGAACGGTGGTCAGTCTATGCCACCTAGGGATGGTAAAACAAGAAGCCAGTGCATCCTTACAGGGACCATCTGGGGGTGACAAAATAGGTTGCTCAGTACTCCTCTCTCTAGCCCAACAGGCTGGCATCTGTCACAAAGATCTTCCAAACAGGAAGGTAAAACTTCCTATTCTAGAGTTGGATTCCGGAGTCACCAAGCCAGGGACAACTTGGTTCCAAATGAATTGCTGTGTTCCTGGGCTTCATTGACCTGCATTGTCGAGGTCTGGGGTGAAACTGGGCTAATGGGACAGTCTCAAAGAAGGCTACCATCAGGCCAGACTCTCATTCAAAAGCAGAGCGGGTTTTGAGTATCTGGATCCACTTCTGGACTGGACAGTTAGAATAGGAGAGCGAAGAGTCTGAAGAGTCTCCTTCTGGAGAAAGACCTTGGCCTGAGCTGTGTCCAGGAGTGGATCCGGATATTTCTAAACCTGTTCCAGAAATGATTTCTGAAGATTCAGAATCCATCTAAACTGTTGAAGCATCTGGACAGTCAAAGCCACATTGTCCCACAAAGCCCATGCCAACTATTTCCTCAACAGAAGGTTGTCCAAGTATCCTACGATGGCGATGGCTTGAGAGCGCAGCAGAGCCAGAAGTGTGGCCAGCATCTTGGTGAATACCCAAGCTGCAGTTGATGGGCCAAGGGGTAGGGCCATAAAACATGGGAAACAATGCACTGGGAAGATGAGGACATGAAGGTACACACTCTTGAGGTCCAGAGAAGCCATTACATCTTCCTGCAAAGGAAGGTACGTCCATGCAGAAATGTATAAACTGGAAAAGACATTTAGAACTTTGAGGTCCAAGATGGGCTTGATAACCCTCTGGATTTTGGAATGGTGAAAAGGATGGAGCACAACCCCTAAAACAGCTTTGCCACAGGGACTGGGGAAATCACATCGTAGACAAGGAAACCCGAGAGGCCTCAATGGAGATCGGCTAATCCTTTTTTAAGGGATGTTAACCAGGCAGCGGTCAAAATATGAAGAGCAGGACCGGCTCAGCAAGAACAATGTTCTAGATATGGCTTACAACCACTTATCGTTTTGGAAGGTGCTTCCTCTACAGAAGTGGTCTCCAAACTGGGACCCCAGGGCCAAATGTGGCCCTTTTCTTGCCGTTATCTAGAGTAGTTTCTCCCATGAACACCAATGATGGGGCATTCTTCCTACCACTGACACCAACGATGGGACACTAATTCTCCCACTAATACAAGGCGCTATTCCTCAAACCGACACCAGCTATTTGGACTCTTCCTCCCTCAGACACCAGTGATGGGGCCCTATTCCTCCAAGTGATACCAACAATGGGGCACCATTCCACCCACTTATACCATTGACGGGGAATAGGTTACATCCACTGACATTGGGCCATTTTCTACTCCCACTGGGCAAAGTCTGCTCCCCTAAAGTCTGAAGGACAGTAAACTGGCCTTTTGGAATGACTGGAGACCCCCTGCTCTACAAGAATGGTAGTTGCCTTGTTAAGATGGGACACCGACAGGTTCAAATGGGAATAGTCCACTTTGTACAAAATGCTCTCCAAACAGATACAAAAACGAATATCTGAGGGAGGAAACATCTTGTGAGGGTGTTTCTAATCTCCGTAGAAAGAGCTTGGACACCAAGTACAAGAGAAGGTTCTTCGTGACTTAGTGGCTCTAAAAGACCGTAGACTGGGAACAGCACTGGTAGAAGAAACAGGCTGATCTTCTAGTTTCAGAGTCATGTGATCAAGAACGATGAAGAGCCAATACAATGGTATAATTATGGAGTCATAGAAAAAGTCTAAGCTCATCTGGCAAAGACTAGAAGGACTCGGAATCTGACTGTCTGTGGCCGATGGCTCAGTGGCCACCATGGCTGCAGGCAGGTCAAAACAAAATCTTCAGGGAAAGCGCAGGAACTCACTTGTGGCCTCTGCGGTTGACGTTGGGCAATAACTGGGAGATTTGAGCGATAAAAATCTTGCATGACTGTAGAACATCAGCCAAAAGTGCAGAGGAACCGTCTACATCCAACAGAAGGGAATAGACTTTAGAAGGTGAGGGACTCCAAGGAGCCTCGGAGCCATTAGGGACATCCGTTGCAGAGGGATTGTTCCTCCATATCTAGAATCAGACGTGTTGTGACCATGTGGCGGTACGGCAACAGAACGCTCGGGGCACAAGAAAAGACCTCAGGTACTCCCGAAATCTGGCACCAGGCACAGACTGAAGATCGAAGAAGTGGCATCAAGCAGATGCTGTAGGCCACACACAACGCTCCACCTACAAGAGGAAGACTTCAGTGTCAAGTCCCACAGAATTAACCTCTTTTCACAATGGAAAGTGGGGAATTTAAAGGCACCCAGCGACCAAATAAACGAGGTAGGTCCTGGTTCTTCCCCAACCAGCCTATTCACAGAGGGATTCTTAAAGAGACACGGCAACTGCCGATTCAACGCCGGCAGCTCTAGACCTCGAAAGCCCTTTGTGGTCAACTTGTTAGTGAAATGTAGTTTGGAAAGAACCTTACACTGAACCGAGTGCCCAAAGGTCCATGCCGGGCTACCCAAAAATGTTGAGTCAGTGGGGTACAAAGAAGACTCTCCAACCAAGAGATGAAGCTCTAGCAGCAATGTGTAGGAGAGTCTGAAAGACGTCCATCTTACTAGGAAACTAGTCAATAACTGGGACATGCTGGGAGTAGGGGGGTTCCTGAGTGGGCCTACAGTTCTTGTTGACCAGCATCCAATCCTACTGTAGGGCCTTCTATGATGCTAGCAAGTTACTGAGGCATGCTGGGAGTAGGGAGGGTTCCTGAGTGGGCCTACAGTTCTTGTTGACCAGCATCCAATCCTACTGTAGGGCCTTCTATGATGCTAGCAAGTTACTGGGGAGGCTATTATGCTGCATGCTGGGGAGTAGGGAGGGTTCCTGAGAGATCAGTTCTTGTTGACCAGCATCCAATCCTACTGTAGGAGGGTTCCTGAGTGGGCCTGAGCAGTTCTTGTTGACCAGCATCCAATCCTACTGTAGGGCCTTCTATGATGCTAGCAAGTTACTGAGGCATGCTGGGAGTAGGAGGGTTCCTGAGTGGGCCTACAGTTCTTGTTGACCAGCATCCAATCCTACTGTAGGGCCCTCTATGATGCTAGCAAGTTACTGAGGCATGCTGGGAGTAGGAGGGTTCCTGTGGGCCTACAGGTTTGCCTACAGTTCTTGATGCTAGACCATGCATCCAATCCTACCACTCCTACTGTAGGGGGCAGTATTACCTGAAGGTGGAACACTTCCTGTGTCCCTCAATAGTTTGAGGTTCTTGAAGTCAGCCATTCAAATTATTTCAATCACTTTACTGGTTTGAAATAGGGCCGTTCAATTCCAGTGTCCATCCCATTCAATTCCAGTGTCCATCCCGTGTGCTCCGCCCATACCGCCATGCTCCGCCCCCGAGTTCAAGCACCTACCTAAATGATTTATTTCACTTATACCCAATAAGGACCTCCCACCATACAGGAAACTGTACAAATCGCATGGCAATGTGTGTAGCTGGCTTCTCAACCAGCAAGGCTTGGAAGGGAACAGACTCCGCCCCTTACTTTTTCATATAACCCTCCTCCTTCATAGCTCCACCTCTCCTTGCACAATGTTTCCAAGAGACTGCAGTGGTGCAGATAAAGGACCGAATGACGGTTCCTCCTCAATGGACAAAGGTCAAGGATATCTACAACTCGCATTTTTCATTGGTCAACATATTAACCGCAGGCTGCCCCGCCACAGTACATGGACTTCAGCAGCTGCGGCCTCAATCACGTATATATGTGCGATTCTGCCTCTTCCAGCAATCACGGGTGCGCACCCCTCCTGTGACCGCTGGGCAAAACAGATCGTGTGATCGCTGTGATTGGCCATAGCAATAACATGATAACAATGTAAACAACCTGTCATGAATGGCTCTCCGTTCATAAACAGCCTGCTTACTGCTATGATCGGCCCACAGCAATCACATGGTACTTGGCTACCTG